CATAGGAGCAGAGTTAAACCCCAACTGGTTTCATGAGGGAAGCATGTTTTGTGTCCAGTGGTGAAGCACTGAGATGTCCAATAGTAGTGTGTGTGTTATGTCTCCTCCGGGTGGACTCTTGGGTATCCGTACCATAGGGTATGGATACTTGGGTAGGCCATACCACTTAGGTCTTTCCTACAGCTGCTGTTTTCCTTGGTCTTGTAGGAATATGGTGGTGGTGTGAGCTCTCATGCTCTGCGGGGTTAAATTTAACTATGTTGGTTGAGACAGAGAGCAGCCCATAGGGAAAAGGGCTTTATGTAATCACTTGGAACCCTGGGTGCACCCTTAGAACCTGCCCTGGCACTGGGCAAATCACCCTCTGGCTTGGGCTCCACTTTATGTAATCTGGCTGCAGCCCATCCATCTAATTGCAATAGGTCCAACCCTTGCCAACCACCTCCGTTGTCTGCCTGCGAGCTCCCAGAAAAGAGGACTGGGATGACAACCATTGGGATGGGATGACACATTTGGGATGTGGGCTGAGGTCTCCAGCTAAGGGGCAGCAGCAGGACCCCAACACCCCCCTCCATGCATCCCTTTACCATCCCTTGGCCAGAGTTTGGCGCTGCCTTTGCCTCCCCATGGTAACTCCCCCATTAGCAGCACGCAGGGATGTACAAAACAGTGAACGCTGTTTATTTCGCTGCTGGAGTGTAACCACCATCATTTCATTACAACAACAAAAAGTGATTACTCAAAGGCATACAGGGCTGGTTTTTTACTCCTTTTTTACACAAGATGTAAGTAAACAGACAAGTTTCTTTCTTAAAAAGGTTATAAAGTGTCAAGATCCTATACCTCATCTGCATATTCAAAGTGATGCCATCCGATACAAAAAGCATTGGGTATAATAACTTAGCTATGGCTCAGACCAGAAGAAACAAAATACTCCCCCCCCCCCCAATAAGTCATCTGGGCTTAATCTACATACTACTAGGGTTGCCCATGGAGTTAGAAAGGAAAATATGCAGCTCTTTGTTGCACAGAAAGACACAGCAGGGAAGTGGAGAGTTCATTGGGAGATCGTTGTTGGAATGCCCCCCCATTCCCAGGAATGTCTGCAGGACCACAGCCAGCCCGTGACCCCCAACACCCTGCACAAAGAAAGCAGCAGCATTTTCCTCCCAGCAGACAGCATCCCACTGAAATCCACTGGCAAACTGCACCTTCCCAGCCCGCTGGAAGCAAAGGGGATGGAAGAGGCTGGAAACTGCATGGAAGTCACGGATCTCCCTGGGAGTTTTTCCCACTGGGACTAACAGAAACCAAACCAACCCAGGGACAAAATTAAACCAACCCCAACTCTTTCTATTGTAGATAGAGCAAGACTCTGCTTCCTCGGGTGATGTGTTACTCATAAAGGCTCCTCACCCAAAGCTCTCAGCCCAAGCACCACGGTATCAACCTCATTGCAAGACTCATTCCATGAACTTACAGATGTGAAGTCTAAATAAGCATCACCAGACCTTGGTTAAATAGAGCTGGCCATTCCCATTGCCCTCCCACTGCTCCCAACACCCGCTCCATCCCACTGGCAAACAGGGAGAACAGAAGGGACGCATGAGCCTTGTATCAGAAACGCACACGGTGCCACTGGTGAGGACACAGCTATCAGTTCCTGCTCAGATTTATACCATGATTCAGCCAGGATTCCTAAATGAGCCTACGAGCTCTTGGTTTGATGGATCGGGCACCTCTGCTTCGCCACCCCTTGGGTCTCTGGATCTCCTGCCACCAGTCTGAAGCCCTGTCCCTGTGAACTATGGAAAGATGGAAGCTTTCCATGCAGAGGGTAAGGAAGGCAGATATATGTAACACCCAGTTCGTGCCTTTGCTTCTGCAGAAAAGGGCAGGATAAGGTGGTTGGTTTGTAGCCAAAGCCAGTCTCATGTAGCCAAAGCCAGCCAATGACATGTGCCAGGACCCAATGGAGACAACCAGAGCCATAACAGAATTAGCAAATAAGTTGGCAGATTTTCAAGGCTCTCCTTTCAATATCTTGGCATCTGAGGTGAAACAGGGATCAGAGTACAAGGAGACCCCAAAACCAGCCCAAACCATGAGCCATTGGCCACTTAGGCCTTGCTCTGGTGCTGCGTGTCTACTGAGCTCCAACTTTCCCTCTTCCCCAACTATGCCATGATCTTAGTGACAGAACTTGACAGAACTTGGCTCTTTGAGGTTTATAACCCCAAACCTGGGTGGGAAACCCATCGTCAATGTTTCTGTGTCCATCTCCACACCTAGGAGGTGACAGCAAGTCCCAGGACAGGGGGAAGATGCCCGTTAAAAAAAAAGAGAAAAAAAAAGGACAATTAAACCATCATTATTTTCTCTCTTTTTGCAGTGACTCCTAAGGGGATGAAGATGCTGCTCTGCCAGCCAGGGGTGGTCAGGATTTGGCCACATGGATTGCACCAGGTCCAGAACTGGAAGCTCCGTTTTTAAGGTGGTTGGGTTGATGCTACATAAAGTGAAGGAGCACTGCAAAGCCTCCTCTCCCCTCTGTGTTCCCTCCAAACAAGCCCACCAAGCTGAGATATGAGTGTACAATCAGAGCTCAGCACTGAGCACTTCCACCATCAAACCCTGCATGGAGGAGGTGAAGAGTCCCCATGGCTCAAGGAGGCTGAATTCAAGCTCCTCTGTCCCTATCCTGACCCCAACTCAAAAGCATCATGTCTGAAGCCCTGGACCATTCGCTATGGGATGGACCCATAAGCATGGGCGAGGAAAACACTTCTTCTCCTCTTACCAGGGCAGAAACATCTCCAACCCTTCAAAGCAAGTGTTCCCAAGGCTTTATCCTCACTCTTTGCAAGTCAATGGCACAGCCTGTTGTGACCAGGAAGCTTATGGGACTGTGAAGTCTCCCAGATAACAGGGACTGGGGCTCTTCCCACCTCATTGCCAAGCCACCTCCTATTGCCCCTGGGGACAAAGCAGCACCTATTGTAGCAGCAGGAGGACATACCAAGGCAGGAAGGGGTGGTGACCACCTAACAACTGCTGTAATACAGGATCAGGCTTTTATCAGCACAATCACTCACCCTTCCCAACCAATGCAGACCCTTCAACCATGGGACACAGGACTCGACAGTCTGGAATGGGGCAGGAGAAGGCCAAAGGACCAAGGGGTGTCCCACAGTATGGAGGCTTGGACAGGCCAAGGTGTGTGGAATGACAACCTTGGAGCCGTGCATTATGGTCCCACCTCACTCAGCACCATAGCCTGTCCCATCAGACAGCCATTTCTGCTGTAGAGTGGGACTCATTCCCATTTAGAGAAGAGGAGTCACACTGGGAATGGCTCCAAGCTCCTCCTCTGCCTACGTGTGGTGGCACAAAGCCATCCCCTGCCCTTCTGCTGGTACTGTAGGTGTCTAACCAGCCTTCCTCACCCTTTATCCCAATAGATGAACCCTCTGAAGCCAATGTCTCTGGGTAACCTATGTTTTGGAAGGCACACAAACCTTTGGAGATACCCAACACAGGGCACTGAAGGCACCTCAAATTGGGCAGCCTAAAACCACGAGACACTGGGTATCTAGCCCTCCTTGTCCCCAAAACTGCAATGCTCTACAGCTGAGGGGTGAGCAGCAGCGAGCCCAAGGGACACCCAGAGAATCCACTGGGCCACAGTTGACAGTAGATGGTACCCAGTTGCGACCCAGTGCCATGGATCTCAGATGGGAGAAAGAAAGGCCAGAGGACGTGCGGAACACAGCTTATTTTCTTCAGGTTTTTTTACCTTTAATTAGCAAATTTCTTCTTATCCTCATCAAAAGAAAACCCACCCCTGCCCCTACGTGCCCATTGCTCCAGCCGCTGCAAGCGTTCAAAGGCAGAGAGTGGAAGAGATGTCTAATGTCTGGGCTAAGGGGCAGCTCTGAGTCCACCCCACCAGGGCACATACTGGGGGAGTCTGGGGTGCCATATGCTGTGTTAGAGCTGTGGAAAAGGCAGGAGCCAAGTTTGGTGATGTGCTCTTGCCAGGAGCACGCAAAATCCCCCAGGGAAGCTGCAGCACAGGCCCTTGGCCAGCAAACACAGCGGTGGAGGACACGGATGTGCTCCAAGAGGCACATCCCCATGGGTATTGCAGGCAGAATTGGGGCTTGCGCCATGGATCAGTGGTGGGGACACAGTGGAAGAGAACCCACCACTCTGTGCATTGAATCTCGAAGCTGTAAGAGCACCCAGACTTTGGAAGGCATCAGTGCTGAGCCTGCACCCTGGCAAAGTGGGTGCCTTACAGCCCTGCCATGGTCGCCTCATGCAGCAAGCCCCATGTGCAGCATCCCGGATGGCATCGAGGTAATGGGGAGATGGTGAAGTGGTAAAGGAGCCAGGAGAAAGGGAATGGTGCAGGGGGAGGACTTGGCTTATCCCTTCCCACGGCCACAAGGCCAGCACCAAGCTGAGCCCCCTTCACCTCTCCCTGCTACCATCTTCCCCCTGAGGCCATTGGGCCATCCCCACCTCTGTCCCTGCTGCTGCAGCCCTTATTTATAGAGAAGAGGTGGGAAAGGGTTTTGATGGGGGTGCTCCAGCCCTCCTGCTCCCCATCCCTTCTCAGCTGGCACCGTCCTGCCTGCATCACCCCAAACCAAGCACCCTTCGACCATCCCTCTAAGTGCAACGGGAAGGGAAAGGGAGGAGGAGGAGGAAGGCGATGAAGAACCATCATGAGCTCACTGCTAATGCCAAGAAACAAAGGAAAGCATTGCCTTCCCTCCTTGAGCTATAGCTGGAGAGAGCAGCCCTTTTCAGGGGTCCAAGATGATGGTGCTGTGGGTGCTGGCACATATTGGTGGTGCTCCATGTACCCCCCTACCCCAGCCCTGGCAGTGGGGCAGCGTGTGGGGATGCGCAGGGCTGGGCGAGGAGGTGAAGGGGCTGGGATGTGTGTGAGCGCCCGGATGTCTGTGTGCACGGGTTTTGGCAAGAGGTCATTGAGGTTACATGATGCAGCATTTGTTCTTGTGGTTATGAGGGTCCTTAAATCGGAGTCTCTGCTTTGGTCGGTATTTTTCCAAGTACGTCAGCTGCTTGCTGTTGATGGCTCCTCTGCGCTTCCTGCGGGGACAGAGGGGTCAGCGCAGTCAGTGGGGTGGCATTCCCATCCCAAACCCACCCTGCTGGGTGCTGAACCCCCCTGTCTGGAGCGGGAATGGATTTTGGAAGCTGTGGCTATGCGCATCCTCCAGGGACTGACCCCATCTTGCTCATCTACCCTCTGACTCTCAGGATATGGAGAACTGGGAAGGAAAACTGGGGTAGCTGCCAGAAGCAGGGTGCAAAGCCCCTCAGGGATGCTCCCAGCTGCTGCTACAGCCTCTTGATGCAAAGGTGCTTGATGGCAGCACCTCCCTTTTTCTCAGAGAAGCTGCAAAGCTGCCCGGTGGGAAAGGACCTGGGGGTGCTGACTGATGGAGCTGAACATGAGCAGCTCGTGCCCAGGCAGCCAAGAAGGCAAGGAGCATCCTGGCCTGTATCAACACCAGTGCGGCAGCAGGACCAGGGCAGTGGCTGTGCCTCTGCACTGGGCACTGGTGAGGCTCCACCTCAAATCCTAGGTTCAGTTCTGGGCCCCTCACTACAAGGGAGGCATTGAGGTTGGATCCAATGATCTTAAAGCTCTTTTCCAACCTAGCTGATTCTATGATTCTACGAAAAGCAACCCAGCACCCTGCAAAGTCCCTTGGACACGCCAAATCTCTCCATTGCCTTGGAGAGGGGCTGCTTTCTCCCCTGACACCGGAACACCACTTGACTTACTGTCGGATGAACTGGATGGCATCTTCATACTTCATCCCGCTCTCGATCAAGGCCAGTGCGACAAGGACGGGAGCACTGAAAGGCAACAGCAGTGGTGGTCACTCCCCAGCCATGCAGCTTGGAGAGTGACATCCCATCCTGGCACAAGGGGACATGCATGGGCTGTAATAGTGGTGCTATGGGCAGCGGTGGCTTTCAGTTCATCACTTCTTGCCATTTGGCTGCAAGCAATGGCCCAAGGAGCATTCTGGGATAACAGGGCAGCTGTTTGCTCCTTGCCTAGTGAGCAGGAGGACTTTGGAGGCAAATCTACCGGAAATATGGATGCAAATACACATGCAAAACCTGACTTATGGCAGGGGGAGTAACATAATGCAGCAGCTCTCGAAGAGCATCAGTTGCCTGTTGGAGCAGGAGGCATTTTGCAAGTATTTCCATGATGAGCTCTTAGCAAAAGGAAAACAGCGATGGCAAACAAGGAACAAAGGAACACAGGGCAACACCAAGGCACCGGGGTCTACCCCAGGGCCCAGGAGCTGGCCATAGGCAGTGCAAGTTGAAGCACAGGCTTCTCCTTGCAGACCCTGCCATCAACGCCTATTCCCACTAAGGTTTTACTGCATGCAAAACCCCTTTTCAAAGGGGAACTAGGGAAGGGAAGGAGCAGTGGACACGGCTTTCCCTCTCCTCCTTTCATGGGGAGGGTGCAATACGGGGTGCTGGGCTCTGACTCACCGCCCCAGGCCGGCCACGCAGTGCACGGCCACGCAGCAGCCGGGGTCTTCGCAGAACTTGGTCTTCAACAAGTTGAGCCAATCTTCCACTATCTTGCTGGGAGGAGGCGCTCCATCATCAAATGGCCAATCCTGCAGGGAGCAGGGAAAAGTCAGGGAAGAGAGAAATGCTCTTAAGGCCATGGATGAAAACGCAGGGATTGATTTTCACTTGGGGTGATGCTGTTTGATGCCTTTCAAGTCTAGGTCTGGGGTCCTCCTATTTCCTATGGACAGGTTCAGCCTCCAGGAGTGCCTACAGGATCTGTGACATGGTCCCCATGTCCTCCTATGTAGACCAGGGTGGCCACTGGCTGCCTCCTTCCCATTCAGTGACCACACTGAGCTTTGGGAGCTGCTGAGCCACTTTGTAGGAATTTGGGTGACATGGTTTAATGGGAGGCGTCCCTGCCCATGGCAGGAGGTTGGAACTGGGTGATTTTAAGGTCCTTCCCAATCCAAACCATTCTATGAGTCTATGAATATTTGAGCAAAGGTGTTTTGGAGATGGCTGAAATCTCAGGGTCTGATGCTGTGCTGAAATTCAGCATCTGCAACAAATGGAAGGGACAGTGAATAACCAAGTCCTGAAAGGATCCTCTGGGGGATCCCCCAACACAGCCCTATAGAGAAATGAAGGGAGACCCCTCCAAACAGGGCCATTTAAACAGCATCCTTCAGGAAAGGCTCTTAAGGAATGAAAACAAAGCCCGTCTTCTTTTGAGCTTCATCCTCAAGCGGTATGGACTCAACATCTACAATAATGTGGGTAAAACGGGTGTTGCATTAAGCATCCCCAGCCTTGGGCTCTGCTATGAGGGAAAAGGGTTCCCCTCCTTGCAGTGACTGCTGCAGCATTTTGGGGAAAGAATGGTCTCACCCCATGGGCACGGGCAGCCAGTCGAGGCTGCAAGGCTCTCCCAAAATGTGGATTTCTCTCTGGAAATGGGTCTGGAAGGAGGAGCATGGCCACTGCTTATGCAGCAGTGGGAAAGAGGGACACAGGCAAGGCAGCATCACTTGGACTGTACGCAGTATGGTGAGCCCCAGTGGGAGGGAAGCACAGGCCATAATCCTTGTGTTTGAGCAGTGAGTCACTAAGCTGCAGTCATCCTGGGGGTCAGATGGCAAAAGAAGCTGCTTTACTTAAGTGTCTGAACAGGCAATGTGATTGCACTTGGGATGTGCCAGGAAAGGAGCACACTGGGCTTCAGCCCTCTGATCATTTCTGTCCTCTGGACCTCCTACAACAGGTCCATGATTTCCCTGTGCTGAGGACCCCAGAGCTGAATGCAGTACTTCAGGTGAAACAGTACATGGGGAGAATCACCTCCCTTGACCTCTGGTCACGCTCCTTTCAATGCTGCTCTGGATACAGTTGGCTTTATGGGCTGTAAGCGCACACTGCTGGCTCACATCCCATTTTTCATGCATCAGTACCCCCACATCCTTCTCTGCAGGGCTGCTCTGAATGTATTTATCACCCAGTCTCCACTGATACTGGGGACTGCCCTGGCCCAGGTATAGAACCTTGCACTTGGCCTTGTTGAATTTCATGAGGTTCACATGGAGGTTTCCATTTCCAGTGTGTCCAGGTCTCTTTGGATTGCATCCCTTCCCTCTAGATATCAACCACACCACTCAGCTTGGTGTCATCTGCCAACTTGCTGAGGGTGCACTCAATCCCACTGTCTGTGTCACTGATGAGGATATTAAGCACTACTGGTATATCCATCCTGCACCATAAACCTTCCTATAGAGAAACCCATACAATATTAGTCCTACAGACTTTCTGCCCCATCTCTGACCTGCTGGAAGTGTTGCCAAATAGATGTTCATGGCATGGATCACCTGCATCTGGCACAACTTGGTAACTGCCATCAGCTCTAGAGATTGCTTGGGATCCCCTGTGGCACACACAGGAGCCAAAAGCAGAAGGGGTGTCCAAAACACCCATGGAGCATACCCAGGATAGGACCACTGTACGTGTGGCCACTGTGGCTGTGGATGCTGGCACCCACGCACAGTACACCGGACTCAGACCTCAACTGACTTGTGTCTGCTCCTCAAAGAAAGGGGTAGGATATGTAGATACAGTCTATTTATTTGATATAGGTATATGTAGAGATATCTATCTATCTGCATGGGTACATCTATCCATAGATATATAGGATATAGATATCTCTCTATATAACTCATATAGTTTCTATATACAGAAAGTTACAGAAATACATATAGAAGCTATATAGTTTCCATAGTGTCTTAAAGAGTTTCTGTATCTAGGATATTGATACCTCCCTATCAAAAAAGTATCCTAGATATAGATCTCTCTAGATATTTAGAGGTCTGTATTGCCTAGACAGAGAAACAGAGACTGGAGGACTCCAGGATAAAAGGCAGAATTTGGTGTGTAAGTGAACAGATACGATATCCTACATACAGATTCCATATGCAGGATACAGCTATCTTTCTCTGTAAGACATACCTACCCTACAGAGACACAGCATTTATACCTGAAGAGTTATGCATCTGAAGGAACTCTATCTAAAGAGACATAGGATCTACTATCTACATCCCAGAGGATCTAGGATATAGCTAGCTATCTCTGTAGGATATACATTACACAGAGAGAGCTATAGAGAGAGGGCCTACACACAGAGGACCACCCCAGGAGACACGAGGCACTTCCAAACCCTTCCCTAAATGAGCAAAGCCTCCCTTTCCAGCTGGAGCTGAGCTCCTTGGCAGGGCAATCACGCCTGACATCATCTCCAATTACTTATCAGCCGGGATGCAGCCCAGGCAGCTGCCTGCTCTGCCCCTTTGCCTTTCCCTGCTTGCTGCCTGCTGCCTTTCATCCCCATGAGCTGCACCGGCTGCTGGAAGAGCAAAAAGCCCACACAGCCCACCCTGGGTAAGACAACACCGCGGGTAACAGGAACCATGCGCAGCTTCCATGTGGGATCAGGCGCTCTCACCCCCAGGATGCTTTAGAGCCCGAGCGACAGGCAGGGGAGGCAGCTGCCGACTCAACCACATGAGTCACAGTTTCGGTGTGTAGGCAGCACTTGCTTTTTCTATAGCACCAGCCCCATCTCAGAACTCATCCGTGTTGCCCCGAGGATGAATTTGGGCTTCAAACTCTCCTCGTGGGTAAGAGCGATGCTGCTTTGGTCTGTGTGACATGCAGGGCGTTGGCAGACAGGAGGGATGGGGGTATTTAAAAGCAACCCACCCTGAACCTATCCTGCTGCCCACCTACCATGACGGTGATGCCATCCTTCTCCAGGGGGGTCTTGTCATAGGTCACTTCGCACACTCGCACAACCGTGGTGGCACCGTATTTCTTCAGGTCCTTGGGAGGGAAGGAGAAAGAGGGGTCTAAAAACCCTGCCAATTGCACACCACTTAAACCAAACACATCCAAAACCCTGCTATCACCACAGGACCACCACAGTCCCTAATACAACAGCACCATGCCCCATCTCTGGACACTAAGCAACAACACCCCCGTAGCTCATCCACCCTGGCAAACACAAGGAAACATGAAATCTCAGGGCACCAAATCAATGCAGGATCTTCTCTCAACACCTTCACAGCTCCTTGGAGTCATGAGTGCCAACAGGGCCATCTATTTGTAAGCCCTGACAGCCACACCACCAAGGCCTTTACACTGCATGCAAAGAAACATCCCTGATACGGGCGCATGTCCCCCAAAAGAGAAATCATTTGTGCCCAGGGAGGTGGCAACTCCTGCTGCAGAATGCATGGAGGTGGCTGGGGGGGGTCACAGTGCATCCCACAAACTACACTCAGCATCTTGTACACTGCTCAGGGGCTCCTGCTCATCCTCGCTGCCATATCCCATCATCATTCCAATGTGCTGCAGGCTGGGGTGTGGGATTTGGGCTGCTTCCAGCCTGGCTTGTCAACTGCTGCGAGGATTGCCCCTGGATTACATGCCAGCACACCGGCACATGTGAGATCATCCCCTTCAGTGGATCCATCTCCTTCATTCCCCACATGCATTTGCCAGACAAAGCCCCCCATGCTTGGCAGCTCAGCCTAAAATCCAACAGGCTGGAGGGAAGTGAATTTCTCCCCATTCCCACTGGTGGTGTCCCCACTGCCTTGTGCACAGTGTGCAGGGTATGTGGTGGCTGTTCCCAAACTGCAACCACCTTCCTGCAGCTCTTTGAGCTGGTGGTGCTCACACGTGGGGTTTTGGGTGTGCATTGAAGGGGTTTTCCTTGAACTCAGAGGATGTCACTGGTGCCAGCACACTGGACCTCAACGTGGTTTAGATCTAAGGCAAAAATCCTTCACCAGGCGCATGTGCAGCCTCAGGTCCTCCTGGGAATACACAGCATTCCAAAACGATTCCTCATGAGCAGAAGCTGCTTGTGCTGGCTTGACTGAGCCTGCAGGACATGGTGTTTCCTCCAGGCATTGATAAGATGAGCAAGTTGAAGCCTTTTACCTTGGACCATGGATATGCATCCACTATTTCCCCCCTAACTCCCTGCTGCAGCCAGTGTTTCCTGGCAGGATACCATTGCTAGCTCATGCAACATTGAGCCCTCCAGGTCCTTCTAAACTACCCAACACACTCTGGGCATTGAAAGACATTGAGATATTTGGGATGAGAAGTCCTTATTGAGGTGCCAGGAGATGCAGGGGATGTTGTGTGCATCCTTATGCATCACAGCAAAGCCCTTTGATGTGATGTGGTGGAGCTGGAAGGGATGCAACAGGAATGGGGAAACTACTTTATCTCTACCACGTCCAAACACCCCACTTGGGGTCCTCCAAAAGATCCTGTCACCAGTAGTGATTGGACCTCACCACCCTGGGTCCATGGTACCAAAGGGGATGTGCTGCTGCCTCATCCTACACAGGGTTGATCCCTGTTGCATCTCAACATCGGATTTTAGCCCCAAAATACACAGCAGGGCCCCAGTCCCCCACTTCCATCCTCTCCTTACCTCCAAGAAGGTGTTGAGCGTGGCATTGGTGGGGTTGTGTGTGATGAGGAACCTCATGTTTTTGTAGCAGACCTCCACCGGTGCAGGGCGGTTCATCCGAGCCATGCTGGGACAGGAGGAGGGTGAGGTGATGCTGATGGTGGTGGGGGCAAAAAACCCAAGAGAAAGCGTGGCGTGGAGGGTGGGGGGGGGGGAAACAAAAAAGCCCCAATGACCCCTCTGCACTTCAAAAATAACCCCAAAAGAGGATCGAGAACTCAATATACAGACGTTGTGCAAATAATCCCAGCTCTTGGGAGCGCGCCGGCTTCCTCAACAACACCGCAAGCTCCCCGGGGTGGGAAGGGGGGAAAAGCCAGACGGGCAAAAAATAATATTAATGATAATAATAATAATAATTAAAAAAAGAAACCCAAAACCAAACCAAAACCAAGAATCCCTTTGCTGTAGTGTCGGCGTCCTCGGTGCGTGTGCGACGGCGAGCGGCTGCCGCGCGCTCCCGGGCGCTCTAGAAAGGCCTCTGCATATGGGGGGTGTTGGAGGTGGCGGGAGGGTGACCCCCGTCACGTTACCCCATCGGGGTATGTGGAGTACTTGGGGGCGGCACGGGGGGCCGGGAGCCTACGGGGCGGCGTCGGCGGCGTCCGGCAGCGGCGCCTCGCTGGGGCGATCCATGCACAGGAGCCTTGAATGGTTGAGTCGGAGGGTCGGGATGCTGGGGGAGACGAGGAGAGGCGGCCGGGCGCTGCTTTATGGGGCGAGCTGGTGGGGGCTGCGGGGCTCAGAGCTGCTCCTCAGCACCTCCATAAATCCCAGCGGACAGCGAGGCTGTAAGGGAGGGAAAGGGAAACGCGATGGTGAGGGTGCTCTGCTTCCCAGGCTTGCTCCGAGAATCCCATCACTGGTACGCGGAGGGATACGGTGACCCCAAATGTACCGGCATCCGCATCCCACATGAGCATCCCTGAGCATCCTCATCTTTGCTGGAGTCTATAAAGTGAGATGGTATTCAAAGTTGAAACACCATCTGAAAGCTGAAGTGGCAGTGGAAAGCCATAGGGGACAACACACATTTCCCCTGGCAAAAGGGAAAAGCACATAGCTTACTCTCATGCCACCCAACATCAGCACCCAATGGTGTATTTAGGCACCTGAACTATGCGAGCTGACCCCCCTGGCACCCATCCTGTCCCCCCAGACCTCACCTTTGCATTCCTGAAACACACAGTGAGTATTCCTGCCCCAAATGCAGCGCTAATCGGCCACATGCTCCCAGTGCTGCTCGAGCAGCTAATGTCCACCAAATGCACCTCTAATGCTCTTAGGCAAACTAAGCTGCCTGCAAATGAGCTTTCTTGGGGAGGGGGGGAGCAGAGGAGGGGGAGGCGGGTGTGCAGTTTTGCCAGCACTGGTGATGGATGTGTCTCCCTGCTTGCTCATCCGCATCCCCATCACCGCCGGCACATTGCTCCCTATGAAGTACAGCATCCTCACACCCTGGGGCATCTTTGCCTCCAGCTCTTCCCAACGGGAAGAATTAAATAAGAAAGTCAATTCTCACTGTGGGAATGGCACAAGCCAAGAGAGGATGGGCCCAGAGGGGGGATAAGCATGCTGCAGATCTGCTCAGAGCCAAGGGAAACCCAGTGCTTCCCTGGGTCGTTACATACCAGACTCTTGTTTTGAAGCTGGTCCTTTCCCTGGGTCAGCAGCTGCTTAATGCCATGTGGACAGAGCCTCAAAATAGACCATAAGCACATAAGTAACCCGAGCCAGGCCAGCATGAACCCCTTTCGCCTCTCCTCCTGATGCCCTGGCACCCAGAAACATTCCCCTCTGGGCTGTTTTACCTTGATGCAATGAGACCAGGTGGCAGCAGGGAGGTGTGCTGAGTACCGACCGGCTCATCACACTGCCTGGGTGCTGTTGCTGGGCTGCTCCATGCCTGAGCATCATTTACAACCTGCTTGAACATCACATACAACCTGCTTAAGCATCATTTACAACCTGCTCAAGCATCATTTACAACCTGCCCGAGCATCATTTACAACCTGCCCGAGCATCATTTACAACCTGCCCGAGCATCATTTACAACCTGCTCAACACCTCCTGCTTCACAAGCAGGATGAAAACTGCAAATAGCAAAAGATGAAATAGCAAAGGGGAATAAAGCTGGGGGAGGTGGCAGGGGGAAGAGGGCTGCTCTCCTCAATGTGTCCAGTGTGGATGTTTAAATCATGGACTTTCATCCTGGCAGGGCACTAATTATCTGCTATTGGCAGCATGTGTGAGCCCTGGTGATGCTCCAGTGCACAGAGCATCTCTGTGCCCATAGTTTTACAGCTGGACTTTTGGACAGGAGCTTAGAGGGGGTTGGAGCTGGGAAAGGGCCAAAACTGAAGGGGATTTCAGCACTGAGCTCACCCCACCTCCTCTGCAGACCCTTGCAATGTCCCTGCCCCCCTTAGTTGCACAGAACCCCCTTGTCAATCAAATCCCATCACTCCTGACTGGTTTAGTGGCTAACACTATACCAGAGCCCTGCAAGGATGCTCTGCGAAGTTCAGACTCTGCCTGGGCTGCAGGGGATGGATGGGACATCCCAGGGGTGGTTTTCCAGTCCCTACTGAGAAAATCAGATTTTAGCAGCTGATGGAGACTGGAAGCGTGGCTGAGGGATGGGAGCAAGGTGGGAACTGTCTCCCACAGGATTTTAGGTCTCATTCAGAGCAATGCTGAACCCCCCGGAGCAGCTCACCCTCCCCACTTGGACCACAGAAGCCAGGATCTTTGTTCAAAGCTCGCAACGCTCCTGTAAGATGAGATGGAAAACCTGTTCTCCCAGAACTCTGTGCTTTTCCACTGACATTCCCCCCCATCACCACTTTGCTTGCAGGGTCTGCTCTCCCCTGAGATAAGCTCACCACAGCTGGGTAAAAAATGTCATGGCTTGAGGGCAATTTGGGGCTGGTTTAGGCTGTGTGGCTCCTATAGGTCCAGCCACTGAGCTGTGGGTCAGCACAGCCACAAAAGGAGCCAACACCCTGGTGAGTGAATGATTCCCAAGAAAAACCTGCTGGCAACCCCCTCAGCAAGCTGCTTCCTTCCTTATTCATTCACTTTGAGTAAAAAAGAGGTCAAAACCCTCCAAAGGGATGGGAGGGCTCAGCTCTTGGCTCTTTCAGCTTCCGCTGTCTTCAACAACATCTTGCCTTCTGCCCCTTTGGCCTCGATGCACTAGTACGAGAGGCGCTTGCAGGGCACAAGGAAAAGCAGCAAAACCCACCTTTCCCCCCTCCAACCAACCTCAAACCTACCAGCATCACACACCAGGAGCGGTGGTCGGCTCCCCATCATCATCCAGCACACGGTTCCTGCCCCATTGGCACCCTGCATCCCATATAATGTTTTACTGCTTGGATGCGCTCGCTGCCAGTAACGGAGGCTCAGTGGGAACCGCCTGCGTACGGGATCAGTGAGTGCTCCTTTCCCACATGGTCTCTTCTCCAGTGGATGTGTTTCAAGTATTTTCGTAACGCACATCCCAGCAATGGAGCCCCGAAGCCCATAAATCCCTAATGGATATTCAATCACAAATCATCCCCAGCGCCACCGTATTAACCATGGCAGAACAATGGGAAAAGGCCTCTTTCTGCTAATATTGATAACCTGCCATGCTGAAGGATAGGGAGGGATGGGGACCCACTCACCACAATGCACCCATCACTGCCACCCCAACATGAGCAAGTTCAACTCAAAGCTTCACCAGCAACGCTTGCCTTTGAATCTCCCCAAGTATGAATATGACACTGAGGGCTTCTTCCTTGCAAAGCCCCCAAAAGACACACACACCATGTGAGCACAGTGATGATTTTTGCCGTGACTGTGGAAGTTTCTGGTTCCTCCACAAGAAGTTCTGCAGCCAAGAGCCCAGCAAGGATCCAGAGTGAATGCACTCTGGTGCGGCAAGAACACTGTGAAGGGGATGGGGACCAAGCTATTACAACCCTGCCTACACCCCAAAGTGGAGGGGATCATGGGACTCTCTGAAGTATTCCTTTGCAGCGTGGCAGCATCATTACACATACCTTGGCTTTGTCAAGCGACAGAGCCTACAACAGCAGGGATGAGGCTGCTCTTCCTCCCAGCACCTTGACGGCAAAATAAATCATGGAATCGTAGAATGGTTTGGGTTGGAAGGGACCTTAAAGCTCATCCAATTCCAACCCCCTGCCACAGGCAGGGACACCTTCCACTAGAGCAGGTTGCTTAAAGGCCAGGTCTTCACTGCAGTCAATGAAAGGGGTTGGCTGGAGAGGCAGGCAGATCTGATGGCTACTGCTGCAGGTCCCTGGGCTAGCGGGATGCAGCTGGTGAAGTCAGGTTTTCCTATACACAGCAACAAAGGAAAAGGAAGCTCTGCAGAGCCAAAGCTCCACGTGGCTTCAGCAGCGGGATTTGGAACAAAGGCTCTTACTCACCCAAACAATATGTACCTGACCCCTATATAAATATAGCTATCTCCCGAGTGAGCACATCTCACATTCAAAGTTCACCTTCAGAATAGTCTAACAGAACACCCATCTGTGTTACGTGTGCTCGACCTCTCTCCTGCTTTCAGCTGACACAGCAAGACACCGACCAGCCCTTTCCCCCTTATGGCTGATCACGTTCTGCTCTGCCTGCTCTCAATCCCACCTCTGCATCACAGATTTCTATTACCCCAAACCACAGAAGCATAAAATGGCTTGGGTTGGAAAGGATCATCCAGTTCCAACCCCCTGCCATGGCAGAGCCACCTTCCACTGGACCAGGTTGCTCCAAGCCCTGTCCAACCTGGCCTTGAACACTGCCAGCGATGGGGCAGTCTCAGCTTCTCTGACAACCTCACAGTAAAGAACTTCTTATTTCTAACATGAACTTCCCCTGTTTCAGTTTGAACCCATTACCCCTTGTCCTATCACTACAGTCCCTGATGAAGAGTCCCTCTCCAGCATCCTTGTAGCCCCCTTCAGACACTGGAAGCTGCTATGAGGTCTCCACGCAGCCTTCTCTTCTCCAGGCTGAACAGCCCCAGTGTTCTCAGCCTGTCTCCATACAGGAGGTGCTCCAGCCCCTGATCATCCTCGTGGCCTCCTCTGGCCTTGCTCCAACAGCTCCATGTCCTTCTTATGTTGAGGACACCAGAACTGCACACAGTGCTGCAAGTGGGGTCTCACAAGAGCAGAGGAGAGCGGTAGAAAACAGACCAGAAGTTTCTGAGTAGTCCCATGTATCAGCTCTGCACATATCTACTACCACTGCCAATTATGACCACAATGAACAGGTCTGTGAGGCTTGGTTGCACACATAAGGGGACCCACCAGCACCACTCACTACCACTGTCACCAGCACCAGCACCAGCACCACTGCCAAGGAGGACAGGTCCCAGCACACAGAGCCATCCCCAGCCCATGACCACAGCCGGAACCCGGCCACAGACAATCCCATGTGTTGGGATTTCCTCTGGCCGCATCCGCACGGAAGGAAACGGGAGAGATCCGGGAGGAGAGTGCCAGAAACACAACACCCCACAGGAGCCGGCAGCTGGGGGCAGAGGCTTAAGCAGCCACCGGCACATCCTGCTCCAGGTGCAGAGCTGCAGAGAGCAGAATGGGATGTGCTGGAAAAGCTGTGCTGGGAACCATGGGGGAGGCAGCAGAGTGGAGCAGCACCAAGGACCATCTGCCAGGGAAGTGCTGTGGGGCTTTTCCTCAAGGGGTTATTGTCTTGTTTGTTTCTTCTGCTGCATGGGGATGTTTTCTGAGCAAGACAAGGATTACAATTGC